TTCGACTGGACAACATTCCAGGATGTTGCCTTTGCAGAACTGAACCTTTGGTCCAACCTTTATTTATAGAGGACTGTTTTGCCCCACCTCCACAAGGTGCTTTCTTTTGTGGTACCTTGACTTTTGCTGAAGCAGAGGTGCTCGCCACCGAAGATTCAGGCACTGATCCCTGAGAAGAAACCACTAAGTTTTCTTGACAAATGTTTTTTTAAGAAGATAACTGCATTTCTTTGATGTCGAAATTGATATGCAGGTATATGTTCTGTTCCGTCTACAACATTAGGGCCTTTATACAATAAGACTCTAAAGATTAAAATGATGGTAACCCCATAAATATAAAATAACATAAAATAAGATAGATTAAAATAAAATATGGTAATAAGGATGTAGATGTTTCAACCTGCAAGCCTCACTTCAATAAAATTAAAAATCACCTAGGACAAGACTGCTAGCCTCATTTCAATAAAATTAAAAATCACCAAGGACTAGACTGCTAGCCTCACTTCAATAAAATTAAAAATCACCAAGGACTAGACATAAGAATTTTACTTCACTACATGTAATGAATTGAATTCTTAAACGAGTTATAGAATGAAGAGAGAAGAAACCTACTTTTGTGGATGATTTGAGGAGAGGGGGCCGCCTCCCAAACTGAGTCTGGAACTGATCCAGCACACGAAAACACCCAGCTCGTCTAATATCCCAGAATCTTATTGCCCCATCACAACCACCAGTAACTAAAACCCACTCATTTGAAGTAGACCATTGCACAGCCCAAACTCCATCTGCCATGTTACTTATCGTATTAGAAGATAAGCTTTCTGGAAACCAGTTTAAGAACATATCTAAAAACTCAAGGGAAGTTCTTATTAATTTTTATTAAGCCTACCACGGTGGCCAGATAGTGTGTGGCTGAATGCTCCAGAAGAGATATCACATAAACGAACTTGAACATCTTCAGAGACAGCAGCAATTAACATGTGAGATGTGGATACAGAGGACATGGCAATTCCATATACCTTTCCGGGCATCTTAAAATTCATCTCCACCTGCAAATACACGAACACCAAAGTGAAACATCGACTACTTAGACAAGAAGGAAACAATTATTGAAACTAGAAAGGCCAACCACCATAACAATGCCTGGAACCCCTGCATAGAGCATGAAGGTGGTCCAGAAACTCAAAATATAAATGGCCATCTTACCTGTACCAATGTCTAGACAAGTGATTTGAAAATGTGAACTGATAAGCGGTAAAATAGCCATGTGAAAACATTACGAATCAAAATAATGTCCTGACAGTTCAAGTTTCTGGAGCATCTGTACAATTTATGCAAATTTCTGGAGCATCTGTCCAATTTATGCAAGATCATAATTTTGATAATTTTCCAATAAAAAGGGCATACCTGGACTGTATTGGTGTCCCAGACCTTGACATAATGATCAAGCGATCCAGTCATGAACAACCCAGTGTCAACTGGGTACCAAGCAACGGATGACACAGAGTATTTGTGGCTAAAATCCTGTCTTTTGTCAACCACAAAGAGTGATGTATGTTTTGCAACCAGTCCTCCTCCATTGTAATCAGTTGCATGTTGCACATCATAAACTGCAATTGATCCATCTGAAGCTCCAGATAGCAAATAACGCTTCTCTGTCAAATCAACCTGGCCTTGCCATCAAAATGTGGAGTCGATATACTATCCTAAATGACATATATGAAACATGACCATGTCGTAAAACGAATGGTCTCAGGGCAATGGAAAATATTGAAGAACATTATTATTTGACTGTTTCTTAGAGCAGCCTATTAGAGTACCTTAAAGTTGCGTAGGTGTGTGCACAAGAGAGAGAGAGAGAGAGGAGTACAGTCTCTACAAAATATTACTCATTTAATCCTTTTATCTTTTATGCTCACTGCCATTCTCAACAAACTATTATTAGTCCGTTTATCCATTATGTTCACTGCCCATTATCCATATTAACTTGATCATTTGGTCCATTGTTCATAGGTATCTTCAGAAAATCCATGTTCCGTCTAGTTATTTAAATTCGAACATGGTATACTGGGAAGGGGGAACACAACCCATTTGATTAAGAAGAGCAGATAGTGAGGTATGGTCATAGCAATTTTGCTGGTGGCAGGGGCTATAGGTAGGTCTCTTACTAAAATAATATAGAGAAAATACGATATTTTAAAAAATAGGGCTTTTTTATTCTAATTTTATTTTTTCTTTTTCTTTTCCTAGTGCTTCTGCCTGTGGATTGCCTAGATATTTGTATTCCTCTTACTTCAATTTAAGGTTAACATTATCAAAAACAATAATATAGAGAAAATACAAAGGTCATCAACTGCTGAATCACTATAATTCAGGCCTGATGCATAGGCCTATCTGACTACCTTACCACAACTAGATGGCATGAACTATGACGATCCTTATACACGTTAGTTTGAGCTTCAAGAATTTACCATGTTGAACTACTTCTTCTCTATTCGGGTCCCAAGATCAACTCATACGCCCACCCCCCAAATAAAACCAAAGAAGAAGAAGAAGAAGAAGAAGAAGAAGAAAAAGTACTAGAAGAAGAAGAAGAAGTAGTAGTACTAGAAGAAGAAGAATAACCAACAACAAGATAAAAGGAGAGGACACACAGCTAAAAAAATGAGCATACTACCAAACAATCAAAAGGGAAGCAAATTAGAAAGTGTATAAGAAATATTCTTTTTTATTTTTTTATTTTTCCCTTTTCTGAAAGTTCATTAGAATAAAACAGTAGAATATCCTCCAATTTAAGAAATGAGAGAGAACAGATTACTAGTAACACAAAAAATGCATTTTCAACTAACCATGAAAAGTAAGTGATGCAATTTCTCAACTTTTTGAAAGCAATTGCAAAAACAATCAGAATATTTTCCTTGCGCACAAGTAAAAAGCATATCAAAGAAGAAGAAGGGAACCTGTGAATCCAAACAAACATATGGACATATTCCCAAATGATACTGCAGCCAAAAGCAAAAACGATAATTTTTTCGCTGAATCATTGCAACAAAGATCCATGAATAATCACCATAAGAACTTTTGCTGCCCAATGTTAACAATTCTGAAACATGGGGTAGAGAGAGAGAGAGAGAGTACGACGGAAAATCCAACACATAATCTGACAGCCGAATAAACCCATAATGTGTACATTACCATGGAAATAAAGCAGAAAAAATTGAATCAAATCTAATCAATAGAGAATCCCAACTGATTCTTTCAACCCAATATAACAAATCACTTCATAATCTCTATAACAGCTCTGGTGTAACACTTGATAATTCTGAAATATGAGGTATGAAAATAAATAGAGTAATCAATAAAAAGCAAAGAAAATTAGGCAATTAAGGATGGAAGAAGAGCACCTGAAAAGAGTTCACAGCCCCTTTGTGAGCGGTCACGAATTCCTTGCGATTGGAGAGATGCAGAGATGAAGCTCGAGCTGATTGAATATGGCTTGCAAATGAAGCAGGCCTGATCTTGCCCAATTCTCTATCGTCCACCACCTTCCACATTTCCCAAATCAGTGGGCATCTTCGTTCTAACTCTTTCTCTCTCTAAAGCTACTCTCTCTCTCTATAGTTTTTTTATATCTCTCAATGGTGGGGTTAAATTAAAGTGCTCCATGAATCTCCTCTCACTGTTCTGAACGAGGCTTGAAAATTCCTCGTCAAATTGGCGCCTCTCTCTCAAGAATCTCAATTTAACACCCCACTCGAAATTTATTACCTATTTCTCCCTGACTACCCCAGTCTTTCTCTCTCTTACTCACCCGTCTCTCCCTCTCTATGGATAATAGATTGATAGTAAAAACTCTCTCTCGAACCCCCGACTAAGCCCTATTTCTTGTAGCGTTGGGAATGGGCGGGTCCGGCTCGAACCCGACCGGAACCAACTGATTTGGACATAAGTTCGATCGGGACCAGACCTGACCCGATCTTAGTCCATTGGATCAGGAGCCAAAAAGTGGGGTCAGGCCAGGGTTGGGTCTATAAATTAAGGATTAGGTTTCCATAAGGGCGCCCACCTCAATAATTTCACTAGAAGAGGTTGTTTTCATGCTCAAATATCCAAATTTATCATCTCGATATCAAGATACATGCATATATAAATTTTTTTTTTAAGTTATGAAAATAGTACATCTTATACCGCATTTTTTAACCGTCAATTTTCAAGTTTTCATAGATCTGCTCGATCTACACTATTTTTGAAGTTTTAAATTTTATAATTAAAGATAAAAATATATTTTAAGGCTATTCCAAAGATTTATAACCTTGAAACTACATTTCTTGACACCATTTGAAGGTGAGCTTTATTTTGATTGTTTAGAGTCCCAACTCTATACAAACCGTACTGTTCTACAAGTCCACGTAGAAATGAGTCCTATTAAAAATCTCTATTTTTTAGATGGATTTTTTTACTTAATTTTTAAGGATATGTAATATCTAACATAGAAATCAAGAATATAAATAAATAAATAAATTTAAAATAATTATTATATTAAAAAACATTTGAACCATTGGTTTCAATTATTTTTAGATGGACTACTTATTTGTGCCTATCTTTAAGATGGATGCTGTATACTTCGGGGACCGTAAATGTATAAATGTGGTCCCCACCGCATGAAACAATTTTCCTTCATAGACAGTTTCTTTGAGTCCATGTATAAATGAGTCACCTCTTAAAAATTTATTTTTCAGATGGATTTTTTAACTTAATTTTTAAAGACACATAATCTCTAGCACGGAATAAGAATAAATAAATAAATTTTAAACATTTTAAAACATTATTATATTAAAAAATCATTTGGACTGGTAGTTTCAATTGTTTTTAGATGAACCACCTATTTGCATCGATTTTTAAAATGGTTGCTTTATCCATCAAGGACGACAAATATAAAAATATGATTCCCATTGCATGAAACAATTTTCCCCTCATGTCCCTGAAAGAGAATTCTTTCATGCAATGGAGACAACATTTTTACCTTCACAGCCTCCGAGGTATAAAGCATCAATCTTAAAAATAGATGCAAATGGTGGTCTATTTAAAAACAATTGAAACTTACCGTTCAAATATTTTCTTAGTAAAATGACTATTTTAAAATTTTAAAATTATTATTTATTTATATTGATGATCTCCATATTAGAAAGAAATGAAAAATATACAATGAGACCGTTTATCTTTAATACACGGTGGTCACAATTAATCTTGACCAGATGTAAAATTCGATGGCTTTATTTATTCTATTATCAAATTCAAATTTGAAAAAAAAATTTATCGAACTTTAAAATACACTCAAACCAAGCTATAAGATTTCACATCATATAGTTATAAGTAACTGTGACTTTCTCGTACCAATAAATGGCCTTATTGTATACAATCCCCGTTATATAGCATACACCTTTAAAAATTAGGCCCAAAATTCAATCTCAACAATAGATTTTTAAGAGGTGATTCATCTATGCATGGAGAATAGACTCGTTGAAACCGTGTCCTTAACTTAAAGATGGAGGTGTTTTTAGTCACACTAAATTACTCTCTCTCTAACTTATCTCCATTCGCCAAATCAAATGGCCTGCCGTTGCCTCTGCTTCACCTTCGCATCGTTTATAGAGTGAGAGGCGGAGCCTGAGAGAGTGGCCTTTGCAACAGAGGGAGGGCAGACCCCAGTGCCTGAGAGAGAGAGTGTGAGAGCTCGAAGAGCACGAGAGAGAGAGTGAGAGAAAGACCCAAAAGCAATTGAGAGAGAGAGCCAAGGTACCCACTAGCAAAAAAATGGCGCTAAGCATCAACCAAAGCTCATTTTTTGGCACACTGGGTATAAAGAGAGCAGTTAATGGTTCTCGCAGGCGAGTCCAGGTGCGCCATGGGGTCGAGCTTAGGTGCCAGGTTGTTAGTGAGAGAGAGAGAAGGGCCATTGTGAAGAGAGAGATTGATTCATTGGATATTTGCAGAGTAGTGAATGGGATGTGGCAGACAAGTGGGGGTTGGGGTCGAATAAATCGCGATGATGCTGTCGATGCTATGCTTCAATATGCTGATAATGGGTTGTCCACCTTTGATATGGCTGATCACTGTGAGCAATTTTCAGAAAGACTTTCTCTTTCTTAATCCTTTGTCTCTCTTCATTCTACCTCTCTCTATATCACTCTGCTCACACACTCAGTTTTGGGTCGTCTGAATGTTCCTCACAGTTATGAATTAGTCTTAGTACTAATGAAATTTTAGAAAGTTATGAAAATCTCTCTCTAGTTGGTTCGGGGTCTGTTGCCCAGTTTAATTGAATACTTTCAAAAGGTTATGAATTTGGTCCTTGCTTATAATGTTATGAATTCCTATCTCTCTGTGGTTCTTCCATTTTGCCTCTGTTGCTCAAATTGGTTTAATATGATGCTTGAGAAAGCCATGGTTTTTTTTTTTGAGGAAATGGTTAATTTTGTATTTGAAGTATAAAAAGTTATACATCAAAACTAAGCTAAAGACGGTATCCCACATATTGGGTGCTCAGAGTACAAAGTATACAGTTGGAGGGGGGAGAACAGAGTATATAAAAGAAGGTAAAACGGGAGTAAAAACACTGAAAATAAAGAGAGAGACGAGAACTAGAGAGAAGCAAAACTGAAAATTCAATTTGTACTTGAGAAGGCTCTTAGGATGGTGCTGCCTCGAGAACGGGGCAGGACTTCAGTAGCTTTGCAATGTTGTAATGAGTCTTTAAGTTCACCTGTCCAAGGTGTCATTGCCGTGACAGGCAGAGGGGGTGACGAGGGGAAGAAAAGAAGAGAGGGATGAAAGAGGGGGGGACAGGGAGGGGAAGGAAAGAGATGAGAGTGTAGAGAGAGAAAAAGTTGAGGTCGATAGAATAGTATTCAGAGCGTGAAAGAAACAGGAGTGAAGGGGAGATGAGGGGGATAGAGGAAAGGGGAAGAAAAGAAGAGAGGTCAAGAGAGGAATGAAAGGTGGGGGAGAGATGGAGATAGAGAGAGAGGAGATGGGGGAGAAGAAGGGCTGAAGAGAGAAAATAGGGGGGTTGAACAGAGAGGGGAAAGAAAGAGATGAGAGTTTAGAGAGAGAAGGGAGAGTGAGAGAGAAGCTTGAGGGTGAAAGACAACAGACAAAGCTATGGTTTTTGTTTCTTGTATTTTTTGAAAACTTATGAATTTGACGCATCTCTCTCTCTCTCTTAATTTATAAATTTGGCGTAATTGGCTTCTCCACTCTCACTCTTACTCAATTTGGCTGCTATTGATGTTTAAGAAAGTTAAGAAATTGGTTTATTATGATGTTTTAGAAATCTATATAACATTTGGTTTCTTGTGTTTTTTCAGAAGGTTATTGGTCTCTCTCTCTCCCTCTCTCTTTCTCCCTCTTGAGAGAGAGAGAGCGAGTGAGAGTAGTTGCAGTACTCTTCTGAACTTTCCAATACTTACAAATGTTTGGTTTTTCTCATAGATGGGCCGGCAGAGGATTTGTATGGGATTTTCATCAACAGAGTTCGACGAGAGCGCCCACCCGAGTTACTTGATCAAGTCAGAGGGTCAGTTTCAATTGCTTCCAACCACATTCCTTATAGGGTATATGTGTTGGTTTTTTGTTTCCTATATCCTTGAGTATGGCTTGTCTGAGAATCTGCAAATGTAGGTTTTTAATGGTGATTTTTCAATGGAGTAAGGTTTTTAGGAGTGTTTGATAGGCTTAGAGTGATACTAATGAATTTTGTGTTCTTCTTCTATTGTGCAATTCTGTGCAATTCCCTTCTTGAAACTAGTATCTTCCATGGATCTTGTTGCTAGAGAAGATATGTTAGTTCCCTTAGTTAACATGTTCTCATTTGACAGTCTTACAAAGTGGGTGCCCCCTCCAGTCAAAATGACAGCTAGCTATGTCAAGGAGAACATCAACATTTCTAGAAAGAGAATGGATGTACCATGTTTGGACATGCTCCAGTTTCACTGGTATGCTTAGTTTTCCTTTAGAGGAATTTGGAATGGTATTTCAAACTGTAGACTACCTCAAAATAGCTTCTTATCACTGAACTCTCTCTCTCTTCCGTGTGTTTTTTCAGGTGGGATTATTCAAATCCTGGGTATCTTGATGCACTAAAGCACCTCACTGATCTAAAGGAAGAAGGTTAGTTATATTCTCATAGTTCTCCAATATAATAGTATCATATTTGTTGTACTGTATGATGGGGTAAGGCTACCTCATTTCTTGGCTTGATCGCTTTTTTCGGTGAAAGGCATGCAGGTAAACTAAAGACATTGGCTTTGACAAACTTTGATACTGAGAGGTTACATATAATCCTTGAAAATGGGATTCCAATAGTTAGTAACCAAGTAATAAAGTCCACCCATTTTCCTTTATCTTTGTAGAAGTTCTCTTTCTTAAGTATGGTGATTATGTAATAACTAAATATTTGTTAATTCAATAGGTTCAACACTCTGTCGTCGATATGCGTCCCCAACAGCGGATGGCTGAACTTTGTCAGCTCACCGGAGTCAAACTGATAACGTCTCTATCTATCTATCTATCTATTATCTATCTATTCCATCTGTCTATGTTTAGATGTAAGTGTGTCCATAGGTAACATATCCAGGGTCTCTCCTGATAACTTTGTCAATCTCTCCTGATAACTTTGTCAATTGATAATCTCTCTCTGTGTCTCTCGGTTTCATGGTCTAACCGACTTGGAGAAAGCAGGTATGGGACAGTGATGGGAGGCCTCTTGTCTGAGAAGTTTCTCGATGCCAATTTGGCTATTCCTTTTGCTGGTCCCCCATTAAATACTCCTTCCCTTCAAAAATATAAAAGGGTAATGCTCTTCTGAGCCATCCGTGTGCCCTTTATTTTCTATACAGGATATTAAGTCATGAACTCATTTTAATTTGAAATAGTGGATTGCTATATTAAACCTTATATGAAAATTCTCAGATGGTTGATGCATGGGGAGGATGGAATCTCTTTCAGTCTCTATTGCAAACACTAAAGAAGGTAGCATCCAAACATGGGGTCTCTATTACAACCGTAGCAGTTAGATATATACTGGATCAGGTAAGCTTTCCTTGCCAATTTATCAAAATTTATCTCTATTAAGTACCAAACTAAACCCACTTCTCTGAAATCTTGACATATCTACTATTGTGTGATCAATACCCTTTTAATCAATCGTTGCTTTCTTTCATTGTTCTCACTTGTATTTTGAAGAATCGTTTGCCATAGCTGTTCTATTTTTCTTCCTACATCTTCTTGTAAATTCAATTCCTTAAGGTTCTTTTTTCTCGTTGATGAACATGGGCTCTGAATCTGTAATGTTGGGTAAAAGACTAGAGCTTCAACAACTAGGTTACGAGAAGCTAGCTCTACCCAAATGTTTTTCATGTTGATAACTTCTAATTTCTAGTGTAATCTAGAGGTCTCTCTCTTATTTCATTTACTCTGATGTGGGTTTGGTGCACAGCCATCGGTTGCAGGATCCATGGTAGGTGTGAGACTTGGTCTTTCTGAGCATATCAAAGACTGCAACTCCATACTTTCACTTGTTCTAGATGATGAAGATAAGAGCAGCATAACAGAAGTATCCAAGAAAGGAAGAGATCTTCAACAAGTCATTGGAGATTGCGGAGATGAATACAGGCGTGCTTAACGAGACTTGTATTTGATGCAATTTTTCTGTTGCAGAATAGAATTTCAAGAACTTGAACAGTCATAAATATACCTTTTTTATATCCACTGAATCTAAATCAAATGCACAATGATAATAAACTTGTGACCATTGGCCTTTTTTATGGAATACAAATAATAACAAAATAAAGATGACGCCCCCTCCTGTCTCTCTATATAATGGGATCCCCTCTCTCTCCCTTCTCTCTTTCTACACTGGTAATCTCTCAGAGTCTGTGATCAAAGCCGCGGTTCTCTTGAGCTAAAAGGCCATCTTTGCATCCATTATTCTAACGTCTCTCTTTGGTTTGTAATTGAAGGACTGAGGCCTTTTAAGTCACTCTAAATTACACTCTCTAACTTACACCAATGTTTGGTTTGCGTCAAAATATTTTTTTAAGAAATATTTTTATATGAAAAAATTATTTTTGTGGGGTTAAGTGATACACTATTATTACATCAATTACTTGTGAATTGGCGTGAAAAGATGTATAAAAAATAATTGGAATAAAAGCATTCTTACACTTAACTACATTAAAAAGAAATAAGATCTTTACATGGAAATCAAGCGACGCAGTTTCCTACGCTCGACTTTCCAATCGCGAGTGGGGCCTTTTCAACAGAGAGTGAGAGCCTCGAGCAATAAAGAGAGAGTGACAGAGATCCACGAGCAAAAAAAATGTCGCTGGGCATCAACCACAGCACATTTTTTTGGCACATTGGGTATAAATAGAGCAGTTAATGGCTCGCGCAGGCGAGCCCAGGTGAGCCATGGGGTTAAGCTTAGGTGCCAGATTGTTAGTGAGGGAGAGAGAAGGGCCATCGCGAAGAGAGAATGATTCGTTGGATATTTGCAGAGTAGTGAATGGGATGTGGCTGACAGGTGGGGGTTCGGGTCGAATAGATGGCGATGATGCTGTTGATGCTATGCTTCAATACGTTGATAGTGGGTTGTCCACCGTTGATATGTCTAATTACTGTGAACAATTTTCAGAGAGAACTTCTCTTTCTTAATCCTTTCTCTCTCTCTCCGTTCTGTCTTTCTCTCTCTCTTCATATTACTGTGCTCACAAACTCGTTGACTTAGTTTTGGGTTGTTTGACAGTTCCTCACGGTTATGAATTAGTTATCTTACTACTGAAGTATTAGAAAGTTATGAAATCTCTCTCTCTCTAGTTGGTTCTACCACTGTTGTGCAATTTTATGGCATACTTTCAAAAAGTTTTGAATTTCGTCATTGCTTATGATGTTATGAATTCGTCTCTCTGTGTGGTTCTGCCGTTATGCCTCTGTTGCCAAAATTGATTAACACGATCCTTGAGAAAGCTATGGTTTTTGTTTCTTATATCGTTTAGAAAGTTTAGAATTTGACCCCTCCCTCTGATTCTTAATTTTACAAATTTGGCATAATTTGTTTCTACTCCAGTCTCACCCTTATTGAATTTGATGGCTATTGATATTTAAGAAAGTTAAGAATTTGGTTTCTTGTGATTTTTCAGAAAGTTATCAGTCTCGCTCTCTCTAAACCTTCACATACTTATTGTTTGGTTTTTCTCACAGAGGGTCTGGCAGAGGATTTGTACGGGATTTTCATTAACCGGGTTCCATGAGAGTGCCCACCTGAGTTGCTCGAGCAAGTCAAAGGGTCGGTTTCAATTGCTTCTAACCTAATTCCTCATTGTATATATGTTTTCTTGTTCCTTCCTATTTATGTAACAAAATAGATAACAAACACCTTATGTATTCCCTAGGATTATGGCTTGTCTGAGAATCTGCAAATGTAGGTTTTTAGGAGTGTTCGATAGTTCGATAGGCTTTAGAGTGATACTAATGAATCTTGTATTCTTCTTCCATTGTGCAATTCTCTGTTGGAAACTAGTATCTTCCATGGATAATCTTCTGTCTCTCTCTCTCTCTCTCCTTTCAAACAAAATTCACACACGCACGGATCTTGTTGCTGGAAAGAAATGTTAACAAAATTTAAACACACATGGATCTTGTTGCTGGAAAGAAATGTTAGTTCCCTCAGTTAACATGTTCTCATTTGACAGTCTTACAAAGTGGGTGCCCCCTCCAGTCAAAATAACAAGTAGGTATGTCAGGGAGAACATCGACATTTCTAGAAAGAGAATGGATGTCCCTGGTTGGATATGCTCCAGTTTCACTGGTATGCCTAGTTTTCCTTCAGAGGAATTTGGACTCGTATTTCAAACTATAGACTGCCTCAAAATGGCTTCTTATCACTGAACCCTCTCTCTCTCTCTCTCTTTCTTCCCTTTGTGTTTCTTCAGGTGGGATTATTCAAATCCTGGGTATCTTGATACTAAAGCGCCTCACTTATCTAAAGGAAGAAGGTTAGTTACATTCTGAAGTTTCTCCAAGATAATAGTATCTTATTTATGGTAGTGTATGTTGGGTAATGCTACCTCATTTCTTGGCTTGATCTTTTTTTTTGGTGAAAGGCATGCAGGTAACTTTATTGGCTTTGACAAACTTTGATACCGTGAGGTTACATAAAATCCTTGAAAATGGGATTCCAATGGTTAGTAACCAAGTAATGAAGTCCACCCCTTTTCCTTTATCTTTGTAGAAGTTCTCCTTTCTTAAGTATGGTGATTATGTAATGACTAAGTATCTGTTAGTTCAATAGGTTCAACACTCTGTCGTCGATATGCGTCCCTAGCAGCGGATGGCTGAGCTTTGTCAACTCACCGGAATCAAACTTATAACTTCTCTCTCTCTCTCTATCGATCTATCTATTCTATCTATCTATCTCTCTCTCTCCTATCTATTTATCTATCAATTCTCATAGTTACAGGAAGCGCCCGACTAAAGTAGCGCTCCTGCTCTGGAACCCAGCTTCGGTGCTCTATGGCTGGGATCTTGACCGGAACCCGCTCCAAATTTTTCAGGAGCTCGTTCCTATTTATAGTATTCTTGATCCCATGCACAAATGATCTCGATCCCACTATCATACGGAACATTTTCCTTAAAATTGTTGATCTCGTTCCTGAAGAAATTAGATCCTCGCTATTAGAATTTCAGGAGCGCGATCCCTACGTTTCCAGAACTCCGTCCCTACGTTCACAGAATTTCCTAAAAGAAACTTCTTAAATAAAATTAACTTTTAAAATGAAATAATTATATTTTAAGCCCAAATTTCATAAAAGTAGAGTTCTGCGATGGGAGCGCGGACTAATCATGAACGGAATGTGATCCTTCCTTGAATGGAGCTCGATCCATTTCAAATAGAAACATGATCATTCTTAGATGGGAAACGATCTTGTTGTCGATGGGAGCGTGTTCCTAATGAATATGGGAACACAATCCCATTTGACATGGAACGCGTTCCCATTAAATAGGGATCTCGATCTTGATGTATTGGGAAAGCGCTCCCTGCTCATACAGGATCTCGATCGGCTACTTTTACCCTCACTGGAATTCGCTCCTCGAGCTCTGGAGCTTTGAGCAGACGTCAATCCGACGCTCCCTCTCCTGGAACAGGAGCCATTACCACTCCAGTTTCCGCTCCCGGTAACTATGTTCTATCTATCTATGTTTAGATGTAAGTGTGTCCATAGGTAACATATCCAGGGTCTCTCTTGATAACTTTCTGTCAATTGATAATCTCTCTCTATGTCTCTCAGTTTCATGGTCTAACCGACATGGAGAAAGCACGTACGGGACAGTGATGGGAGGCCTCTTATCTAAGAAGTTTCTCGATGCCAATTTGGCTATTCCTTTTGCTAGCCCCTATTTAAATACTCCTTCCCTTCAAAAATATAAAAATGTAATTCTCTTCTGAATCATCTATGTTCCCTTTAGTTTCTATACAGGATATTAAGTCATGACCTCATTTTAATTTGAAATAGTGGATTGCTATATTAATTTGGAATAATGGATTGCTATATTAAATCCTGTATGAAAATATTCAGATGGTTGACGCATGGGGAGGATGGATTCTCTTTCAGTCTCTATTGCAAACACTAAAGAATGTAGCATCCACACATGGGGTCTCTATTGCAACTGTAGCAGTTAGATATATACTGGATCAGGTAAGCTTTTTCTGAAATGATCTTTGACATTTCTACTCTTGGGTGATCAATACCTTTTTAATCAATCCTTGCTTTCTTTCATTGTTCTCACTTATATTGTGATGAATCGTTTTCCAAAACTCTAGCTGTTCTATTTTTCTTCCTACATCTTCTTGTGAATTCAATTCCTTGAGCTTCTTTTTTCTGGTTGATGAACATGGGCTCTGAATTTTTAATGTTGGGTAAAAGACTAGAGCTTCAACAACTAGGCTATGAGAAGATAGCTCTAGCTCAAATGTTTTTCATGTTGAGTACTTCTAAATTCTAGTGTAATCTAGAGGGGTCTCTCTCTCTCTCTCTCCATTTACTCTGGTGTGGGTTTGGTGCACAGCCATCGGTTGCAGGATCCATGGTAGGTGTGAGACTTGATCTTTCTGAGCATATCAAAGACTGCAACGCCATACTTTCACTTGTTCTAGATGATGATGATAAGAGCAGCATAACAGAAGTATCCAAGAAAGGAAGAGATCTTCAACTAGTCATTGGAGATTGTGGAGATGAATACAGGCGTGCTTGATGAGACTCATATTTAATGGCATTTTTCTGTTGCAGAATAGAACCAAGTTCTGTTTTAAAGAACTTGAACAGTTTGTACTGATACATAAATATACCTTTTTTTAATCCATTGAATCTAAATCCAATTCTCAATGACAATAAACTTGTGGAATAAAAATAATATTCATACTTACAATTAAATGCTTCCAGGCCTTTCTATACAGTTGCCAACTCCACATAATGTACATGAAAAATACTATCTATTAACATCTTTTCCTCACTTTTATTTTTATCATTAAGCGTCTCTACCATGTATCATTACAACAACATTTTCCATCTTTGAAATGGTGGAACCTGCCAGTGTCCTTCACAAGCATGTCCCTGCCTAAAAAGGAAGACAGAAACTTGAAAACTGAGTGGCAGTCTCCACACATTCTCACACTCTTAAAAACCCTAATTGGCGTCTTGGGAGCCAAATGAACAAGCCCAAAAGCCAAGGCCATCATCTCAGTGTGATATAAACTCACCCCACAGCCCACCTCTTCTGAATCATGTAGCCAATGGTTCTTATCAGCTACATATCCCAACTCATCCATTTCTCTTTCCAACTGTCCCAATTTCTCATGAATCTCCTCAGTTACAGTCTGGTTAGAACCAAACTCATGGATAGTGCTCCTAACTTCTATCCAACTGTGAGTTTCTCTCTCAAGTTTAGACCCATTTCTAAGCTTTGATGCATCCTCCCACCTCCCTGAGGTTATAAGCACTTGCTCTAAGAGTGAGGTAGACGCATAGTCCTTAGGGTCTAGTTCCACAAGTTTTTCTGCTGCATATTTTGCAAAATGCATGTTCCCCTTTATTCTTGAAGAATAAAACAGGGCCCTCCAAACCAGTTCATCTGGTTCAAATGGAATATCTCCATGAATGAATTCCTCTGCTTCGTCAAACATCCCAGCAAGGCCCAAGACCTCAATCATTGAGGCATAGTGTTCTCTTGATGGTGAAAGCCCATACTCTTGGTGCATCAAACCAAGAAACTTGAAAGCTTCACGGACAAAACCCAATTGACTGCATGCTTTCAGTAGAGAGAGAAAGGTTTGTGAATCTGGTGACTTGTTCAAGCATCTCATCCTTTTGAAGAGGTATAGAGCATTTATTGGTTGCCCATGCTCCATAATTGCAGAAACCATTGAAGCCCAAGCCATCGAGCTCCTCTCAGGCATCTCATTAAAAATGTTAGTTGCCTCTTTGATTCTTCCACAACTAGAATACATATTTATCAGAGGCGCCCCTACTTTTGGTTCTAAATCCATTCCTTTCTTGATAAAATAAGCATGAGTCTGTTCCCCTATTACCAAAAGAGATTGGTTTGAGCATGATTCTATTACGTAACAGGATGTGTTATGGTCTAAATTTGCAGAAGATTGATGAACCTTTTTAAATAGTTCGAGAATCCTCTCATGGTCCCCTGTTCTTGAACAGGCTTGTATCAAGTAACCCCATAAAATTTTTGATGACGGGATCGAGTCACAAAGGTTCAAAGCTTGCTCGAGAAGACCAAACTCACAGTACAGGTTGATAAGGGTGTTAATAACCGGGACCTCTGATCCATAACCAGTTCTGATAATGTTACAGTGGAGCTCTTTTCCCTTTCTGAGATCACCTACAGCAATGCAAGCCATGACAATAGCAGTGAAGGTATACTCATTGGGTTTCACTGATTCATACTGCATTTTCCTGAACAATTGAAGACACATTTTCCATTGATCATTTTGAGAAAACCCTGAAATTATTGAAGACCAAGGAACAACACCTGGTTTCTTTATACCAGAAAAAACCCAATATGCGGCGTCTATGATTCCACATTTGGCATACATATCAATCAGAGAACTGATAGCATAAATGTCAGACTGAATCTTTTCATGCTTTATAATGTAGGAATGAATCATTTTTCCTTGCTCGAGAGCTAAATCAGAAGCACAGAACTTCAAAATACTTGAAATCGCGAATTCATCAGGCTTCATTCCTGATAACTGAAATTGGATGAAGAGTCTCAAGGGTTCATTGCCAGCTCCGATGGAGCATTTCACATACATATCAAGCAGACCAGAGAAAACAAAGTTACTTATTTTGCAACCAGCTCTTATCAGGTAGCCATGAACCTCCCTTCCATTTCTAAGAGCCCCCAAACCAGTTATGGCTCTGAGCACACTTGTTAAAGTGAACTCATCCAAAACCAATTCACCATTATCACCTCCTTTCTCTCTCTTAATTCTTTGCAACTGATGAAACAGCATTAGCGCATCCTCATTTCCACAATTATGCACAAAACCCGCAATAATGGTGTTCCAAGAGACCATACTTTTCAAAGAAATTCCACTGAAGATCTTATATGAATCACTCAAAAATCCACATTTTGCATAGAAATCAATCAACCCATTCTCCAAAAACAAAAAAGAATCAAAACCCATCTTCAAAATGAAGCAATGGATCTGAGTTCCAAATCCGAAGCACCCCAAATTCGCACAAGCCGACATCACGATGCCAAAAACTAGCACATCAGGCCTAATCCCATTTCTCTGCATCTCACAAAAAAGGCTCAACCCATCACTCTCATACCCACTTTGGACACACCCTTGAATAATGGAGCTCCAAGACACCAAATCAGGACATTGAATACCATTAAAAACACGAAATGAGCTCTCTAAACAATTACAATTTGCATACATGGTAACAAGAGCATTCGTTACAAATACATCAACCTCCATGCCCAATTTAATTATCTGGCAATGAAGCGCCTTTCCATAAATCAAATCTTTATTTTTTGTACAGGCCCTCAAAACAGTGGCGAAAACAAAAGTATCAGGGCTCATATACTGACCATTAAACATCACTTGGAAGAGTTGCATGGCTTCTAAAGCCTGGCCATGACGTGTATAGGTGGCCATGAGTGTAGTCCAGTAAGCTAGGCTTTCCCTCTGTTGTTGCATTTTATTTACTACTTTATGGGTTTTGTCCATGGAGTGACAGAAGTCACAGGGGAGCAATTTTGAGCCATTGGATGACTGGGTTTCGAAGGTTTTGACGGCTCTGATTTCATTATTTGTGGTGATGGGGTTCTCGAGGGAAAGATAGAGATTTGTAGAAGAATTTGAATTTGGATTTGAATGGCTGGCGGGTAAATGGGGAGAAGAGAGGGGGCACAGGGGATAGGTAGCCATAGCAACGGCTACTTTCTATGGTGATTCCCTTGTTATTTGCATTTAGAGATAAGGTTCCAGTGAGCGGTGAAGATTTTCCCAATGGTGATATTCTCTTGGATCTAAACCATATATATATATATATATATATAGGTTTGTATAGGGCCTAGGCTCTACACAATGAAATTAGAGCTTACCTTTAAATAATGTCGAGGAATGTGGTTTCAACACTGGAAATCATTGTGATTGTTTTAAAATATATTTTCATCTTTATTTATAAAGTTTAAAGTTTAAAAAATAGTGTAGATCGACAGGTCTATTAAAACTTGAAAATCTTGAAAATTGACGGTCCAAAAATGCATTACTAAATATACTATTTCCAAAACTTGAAATCCATTTTTTTTTCATGTCCATGCGTCTTGATGTCGAGATGATCAATTTGAAGATATTTAGACACCAAAACAATATCTTATAGTGAAATTTTTTAGATAGGCTCTAATTTGAGTATTTAGAATATATATATATATATATATATATATATAGCATCAAGCTACATTGAGTAAAACACATGATTGATTCGGATTTGACTCAAAAAATTAGTCAATGGGTATACATGTGTATATTTGTATTTGTATGTGAATGTGTACGAGGTGGCTAGCTAATTATATTAACCTTCCAAATCCAACGATTTTTAGTTCACAATGCAAGTAATCACTTGATGAGTATTTACCCCCAAAAAAAAAAAATTGGAGTAAGCTTTACTACCATGTTTCGTAATAAGCCATGACTAATTTGATAAGAAATAACAAAGAATAATACACTTAAGTCGAATTTTAAAGTTCTATTGAAAGGTTATCTTAAAAATGATAAAACTGTTGTAATTGATTCGTCTTTTTCAAAAAATCGAGTTTGTTTGAAGTTATTTTGAATATCGCGCATTTAAATTGTTTTATGAGAAGGGGTATTTTGTAGAAGGTTTTGCTAGGATACTCTTACATGCATTTTTTTCTTTAACATACTTAATATTTTTAAGCACTTGTACCTTTATTATAAAATGTAGTGGATTTTTGTCTAAAAAGATTTTAGACCATTAATAAAGAGTAAAATAGAAACTTCTTATTGAAAGAATTTTTTTATTAATTATTAAGTGGAAAATCACATTATGCATATAAATTGTAATATCACTTACATGGAGCATTACCTGTTTTTAACTATTAATAAAAGGAAAATTTTTGCTCCATACCTCTTAATATGAAAAATACTCTTGCTGAAAAATTTATGTATTATAAAATAAGGTAATGAGTATCTAAAAATAATGAATACATTAAGAAAGGGAAAATGACCTTTACCTCTCTCGACAATTTTTATCCCTATTAGACCATTGGTTTCACCAAAATCCCTTATAATCCCGTAAATTTAAAACTTTCGGACCGTTAGCCCCTCAATTATATTTGGTTTTATTCTTTTCACAAATATGATCTTTGTAATTTACAAAATATCATACTCATCCACTAGGCAACTCCCTTCCATTTCCCTTACGTTGTCCAAAACCAATCTTACGTCCACCCCCTCTACCAATTTAGACTTAAAAAAAAATGAATTTTTAAATATTATAACCTATTTTATAATCTCATTAATATCTTTTAAACTTGCAAAATGATTAATCAAGATCTCTATTACTATTGTTAATGGAATATTATTATTATTTATTTATTTATTATTATTTTTTTATCAAAATATCTATAAGAGATGATCTACTTAAAAATGATTATTACTATGTTGTTGTTGTGTCTGTTATTATTATTATCAATAAAATTTGTATATAAAATCGTAAAAAAATATAGATGACTAATGGATGGGTTGGACATTTAGTAAAATAAAATGATGAAATTTCTATAAAAATAAAACTACCAGGGGGTTAACTGCCCTAAAACCAGGGGTCTAATAAAAACTTTTTGCAAACGACACAGTTCTAATGAATTTTGGAAACCAAAACTAGAGGTTTGCGAGGTTCTGTACTTCAGTGGCTTCAAAGTTCAAGCTGTTGGCATAAGTGGGAACCCTAACAGGTACGCTCATGCGTCTCTCTCTTGTCTTGGTCTCCTTGTTTATCTCTCTAGAAATTCCGGGACTGGTTTTGCTCGGCCCTTGTTAACAGGGTTTTCCTGTTAAAGTTGGTTTCATTGTAGAGAATACCCAAATGTAATAGGGTTTTGTTGTTAAAGATATTATAGGAAATGTTAACACCCAAATTTAACGAGGTCAAGTTGAACATTCATAGGGTTGTTGTCTAGTTTCTTAACAGGGTCAAGTTGGTTGATTCTGCTCATTTGATTGGAGAATCATTCATAGGTTTGTGGTCTAGTTTCTTATTTGTTTCATCAAATTTTCCGCATTTTTGGTCCTTTTTCCAAGACTGGCGTGGTCGTGTAGGTAATTTTTTTTGCACTCTGTTGTGATTATTTCCAAGAATGTCGTGTAGGTAAGAATGGCGTGTTCGTGTATTAGTTGCCTCTTTTTGAGCTGGGATTCTTTTTTTAATGCATTGTTCAGGTGGAATTTGATCATGTTTGGGATTCTATTTCTGTTATTTTTCACATATAAGGATTCTTTGATGAATATTTTATTCAGTTTATCCTTGATTTATTCTTCGTTATTGCTATTTTTTCTTATGCACTTCCTTTAAAATTTCTTCCTTGGATAAGTTGTTGTTTCACGGTTTTCGTTGCTAATTATTGCCATTGTTATTATGGTAATAATTTACTTTTTTTGATGTAGAACTGCTATGGGTGGACTCTGTGGTTCAAGTGAGTGGTTGGATTGTGATTTGTTCTCCTTTTCGTTTGGTTTTCTAGGAGAAATCATTCTGTTAATTTCATTTTTTGGGGTAGAGTTTTTTTTTTTGGTCGAGTTTATTCTTGGTTTTTTGTGCGAGTTTATTCTCAATGACATGTTGGATTATGGAATTTTTCTGAGTTATTCATTCAGGTAATTTGCGTGTAATTTCTAGCTAATTTCAAAGTTAATTTCTGTTTCTATTGAATACATGGGTTTCCACTCCTTTTTCTGTTAAATTCTGAATTTTGGCATGTATCTTTCATGTAATTCTCTGTTTAGCTTCCCAAGATTATTAATGGAATCTCTGCCTCTCTCTCATAAGCATTTTTGCTATCTCTTATAAGTTCATCTACTCTATTTCATCTCAAAGCCAACGAGAACACGATTTAGTGGAATTGAATGTAAGAATTGTGCTTCTAGTTGTGGATATGCTCTGCCTGTTTTTGTTGTCTAAATGTTTGATGAGCAAAGCACCTTTAATTTGTTTACTCGGGGTGCCTATTTATGCTGCAACTTCTCTTTTATATGGAACATACACATTTGTTTTTGTTGTTTGTTATTGATTGCTTTCTGAGATTTTGTTTTAATGGTCTTTGTCTGGTACATGTTGAAACACATTTTACATGTATTTTGAATCTCAGCCATGCATTTTATAAGAAATGCATTAGACAGGTTGTAGCAAGAAAATCTTATTCAAAATATGCACTTCACAAATCAAATCAATGAAATACATAATGAACTGTTAATACCAAATAGGTGAAAATACCAGCACCACATTTCGGAAGCCTCGTTACGCTACTAATTTATTTACTGTGGAGCTTCATCAAGTGGCAGATAAATTTCAGAAGCAGATAAATTTCAGAAGCCGTTTCTGGCATTTTTTGGTTATATATATATATATATACACACACACAACTTTCATCTTCGGAAGAAGCCCTGGGTTGGTACTTTTTTCATTGTAGAATTAGATCTAGGGTTTAGTGTTAGGGTTTTATAATTTGTGCCATCACTTTTGTGTGTGTGTGTGTTTTTAATTCAGGCTTTGCATAGTTAACTTTATGTTTTGCTTCTTTTACTGGGAATTAGTAGATTTACTAGTTAGTTACTCTATAAATATTCATGAATAATCAAAGGACGGCCCTTTTAGTTAACATTTACTTTGCTAGAGGGATTCAAATCAGTATGGTTAAGTCTATGAAACCTTTTTTTCATTTTTTCATTTTTTAAATTACTTGTACAATGACATGAGTGAGTCTATGAAATAACGGGATTGCTGATTCTTTTGGTAAATGGTGCCTTTTCTTCATCCTCTGTAAACTCTTTATCACCACTTTCTCTTAATGGAGCTGTTCCAAATGGTTAAAGTTTCTTAACCTTATGCGATAGAAAATACTTATTCGTTTCTTCACTTGGAAAAACAAGAATCAAATTTTTATTTTTTTATTTTTTGATATTCAATTGATTTGTTTTCTGTGCATAGAAAAAGAACCTTCTTGATTTGAGGCAATATGCAAGAAATGGTCTTCATGTTTCAATCTGTCCGTTATAATCAAACAATTCTTTATTTCTTTTTGTTGATGAGTTACGAGTCTCATTGATCTCTATTTACAGTTGAATGTGTTATTCCTTGCAAACCATAGGTTGACTTCTCTTTTAGATTTATGGATTTTTTTTGGAAAGTTAACTACAGGTAAGAAATTATTTTTTTTTGGGTAGTTACATGTAAGAATTTTTATTAAGGGAAGTCTCTGTTTTGTCTTATAATTGAATGCCCTTGTCGTGTCAATTTCTCACATTAACTGCTGTCCTCGGTACTTCATTATTGCTGTTGCATATGAACCATCAGATAAAAATAATTGCTGTTGTATATGATACATTCAAACCTTACAAACTTTTAAATTGAACTCCCTTTAGAAGTCTACTTTGGAATTGGAGATTGATCTAGCTCTTAGTTCCTTTTTAGAGGAATGTTTGGCGCTAGTCTCAGAGATGGGAAGCTCTAAAGTAGAGAGAAACAAAAACAAAAATCCGTGGCATGGTTTGTAGTTTTGACTGGTCACTTGCAACTAACTTAAAAAAGAAAAGAAAAAAAAAAGAATTGTTAGATGGCTTGAATCATATTCTGTATCTTTTTTCATAATTTCTTTTTAAAGCATGCGTTGTTCTTCAATTTCTTGTTTTTTATGGAAACATTGCATGACCAAGAAAATTGTATGCTCACACAATGGAGATAGTTAAGAGGAACTTAATAGCAAAAACATGTAGTTGACTTATGCCATTGTAGGAATTTAAATTTGCCTTATTGTAATGTCCTTGAATTGGTGGAATAAGTGATGACTTTAAAAATATAGTTTCTAGCACAGCTAGTAATCTTCTTGTGGATTGTATATTTCAGGCCGTTCTATCAACAGTTCTCCCTCCTTTTCCAACGTTGAATTATTGTGGTTTCTAACAAACTCTACAGAAGCACAACATGGATGGTACCCAGCTTTTAACCTTCAAGAATGTTTCTTGCTTCTTTATTATCAGTGTGTCATATTACTTGTTGAAAATTATAGATGCATCATGTGGGGAAAATGCGTATCAAATAGCAAAAAGACAATGCTTGTTATTTTCTTGAAAGCTGAGGGCATGCAATAACTTGTGCTTCTCCATGCTATCGTTTTTGGGTTTTAGTGGACAAAGAACCAACCATGGAAGAAACTATCTTAGTTGGTGAGGATCTCATGTTGGGACCGCCCTCTCCTCTTATACCACCAGAGATTGCTTCTCATGTACTTGAAGGTGTTGATTTATGCGATGGGATCCTAAGGAATCTTTTCTTATGTAGGTTCTCTATTGAGCTTCTGTATTGAATTTATATTCTTTTGTAAATCTGATGACAAAATTGTTAACCCCTAATGCATGTTTGCACATGCACATGTGCTGCTCCTAGGTCTGCAAGTTAATGACATCGAACCTTTTTGTCAAGACGAGATTGTGTTATATCGACAATGTGCTGAAAAGAGGGTAAGTTATATAATTCAAATGCTACCAGTTGATAACTATTTGCTCAATTGGTGTTTCTGCTGCTTCTATCCCTTGTGCATTTTTCTCAGTAAACTACCTATGTACTTATGGATATATGGAAAAAACTGTTGTCTGTTGAACATCGCTGTCTGATGAATGGTGGTGGAGAGAGTGGAACCCACTATTAGAGTTGCTCTTGCCTGTGGATCTCTCACTCTCTCAGACTCTCACCATTACGTTTAAATCTTTTTTTTTTTTGATAATAATTATTTAATTGGACATGGTGACCCATGGGCTATGGTTTTTCCTAGTCCACTAGCTATAGCGTCTTTTACCCTAGTGTTTTCCTTAGTAACTTATGCTGCAAGTCAGTAAATAAAGAACTTAACTAAGTCTATCAATTGGGAGTGCAGGATAAGGAGCTGAGACAAAAGCTTCAAGAAAGTGAAAGGAAATTGGGACTCTCAATGCCTTGGGATGAAGGAAAGGACAGAGCTGCTCAACTTCATTCTCAAGTTGAATTGTTGGAGAGGTATTAGTTTATGCATGAAATCATGACTCAATCCGGCTTCTCCTGATCTTTTTGCAAGAGTAAGTTTTGGAGAAGAGCTTGGTTTTGTATTAGCAGTTTATGATTGGAAATTTCTTCTCATATTCTCCTTCATAGAAACTGCATTTCATGCTGCATTATTGATGATAAACAATATATTCTGTGATAAACTAATACATTAAAAAAGAGAATTGCCAACTTTGAACTAAACATATTTGGATGAGCAACTCCTATAGTGCTGTACCTGAGCTTCTTTATCTACATGATCACTAGCATTCAGCCTAATTTGCGCAATAATTTTTTATATCTATCACTATCAGGATAACGTCGAGTTAGAGAAAATTAACAATTCTGCATCTAATCATATCTCACGTCTTTTAAAATTTCTAATTCCATGAGAAGAGCAATAAAGCATGTGTATAATGCTTCTGGATTTGAAATCATAGGCCTGTGCATTTGGAGGATCCCTAAATGACAAATTTTACTCCTTTGAGAGTTTGATTTACCTTGAGGCTAGTAGATGCTTTTGTTAAGATATTCAATTGTAAATTGTCCATCCATGTTCATGTTATTTCTCGTTCTACAGAGGTAAAGCAAGTCATCAGTGAGCTGCAGAGGATTTTCTCATGGACAAGCCTTATTTCTATACCTGATTATATATTGCTTATTTTTTAGTTATCCATAAAAGAACAAGGTCTTATATGCTCATGCGTTAGTTTTCTCATCTAAAATTTTCCCATTACTACATTCCTGGTTATGTGCCATTTGATTAAAACATGCACCTGTAATTTACCTATATATGGCATTTTGTATTATGGTTCTTGAGGTTGTGTCTGTGTCATACAACATAGTGGATGGAGTGTTGACTTTACTGATTAAGTCAATAGATTTCCAATGAATTATCTTATGCTGTGATGATGATTTCTTAGGCGTATGATTCTTGCAAGTGGAGTAGCGGGAATGGAAGGATTTCGTCAGCGATGGAGTTTGCATGGACAGCTTCAAGATACAAAGTACTTGTCTACACTCAAATTCAACACGCATATTTCTCTAAAATAGTGATTCTGTTATTATCTTTCGATTTGTGGTTTCCTGATTTCTCTTTCCAAGTCTATGGTGTATTGGAGATTGTCAGATATGTCATTGTTTATGGCCTTCTTAGGCATGATTTGTTCAAGTTGTGTGGCATTCGAATCAAACATTCTCATTGACAGTACAAAAAAATTCTGAAAAGTGTGAATTGTACGTTATATTTATGAGGCTCAGGTGATGTTAGGAGATGTGGTCACTATCTTTTTAGACTTTGGAAATTGTGTATGAACTGGAATTGATTAGTGGAGCAGGTCATGGCTAATATTTATGTGAGATACATAGAATTCTCCAATTAACATATTGATGGTTGATTGTCCAAAAAAAAATATTCTAACTAATTTCCTTGATTATTGAGGGAAACCAACTGACATTTTATCAAAAGAGAGGGAAACCAACTGACATTTTATCCAACTCTTTTTGACTTTTGTTTGGATTTCGAACAGGAGCAGATTGGAATCGCTGGAACAAGGATTGGAAATGAGAAAGAAGGAAGAGCCTGAAAATTCAAGCACTAAAAAGAGGTGGTTCTTCGGTTAGATATATTCCTGAAATATGATGAATTTTATGATGTAGTATCATTTCACACGGATCATTCGGACCATTATTGTGTTCTATGAAAACCTCTGGAACTCAACATTGAAGAAAGAAAACATATATATTCGTCAGAAAAAAAAAAAAAAAAAAAAACAAAAAAAAAAAAAAAAAAAAGAAGAAAGAAAGAAAGAAGAAGAAGAATAATGATTTATTTATCATTTGAGAGAATGATTAATTTTTAATTTCAGTACATGGTCTTTCTTACGTTTGTGGATAGTGGTTATCATGACTCCATTTAAATTTTTTTTTGTGTACAAGCACCACTGGTTGCCATGGGAATTCCTTCCTTGATTTTATCTCACTAAAAATATGTTTGCAGTGGTTGCCACTATGGGAATTCCTTCCTTGATTTTATCCCACTAAGAATATTTTTGCGGTGGTTGCCACTCTGGGAATTCCTTGCTTTTCTTTCTCCTTAATAAGGTCATGAGGAGCACTTGGCCCTTTGCGCCGAAGGCCCATGTTCTTAGGTGTGGCAATGGACCCGGGACCTGACGACTAGACCCGATCCAGGTATGGGTCCAAAAATTGGACACGGTGAATCGGGTCCGGGTCTGGGTCCAAATCTTGGACACAAACACTATTCCGGTTTGGGTCTCACATTTCCTAATTTATGAAAATATATTAAAATACATAGATATTTAAGTTTTTGGGTGGGGTGTAGGTCTGGGTCCCACAATATATTTTAGGTCCGAGTCTGAATCCGGTGACTTCAGGTCTAGGTCCGGTTTCCGCATTAGTTTTTTGGGACCAAATCCTGGTCTTGGTCAAGCTAGCTGGATGCAGACCTGATCCGACCCGTTGCCACCCTACATGCTCTAGCCCGTGTCTTAAAACTCTAGCTGGTTAGCTCTCTCTTGCCAAACTAGGTTCTTTGATTGTTTCCCACTCCATTGGATCGATCGTTTTTCTTCGACTCTAATTTCATATCTCGCAGTCTTTTGATTTCTCTTGATCCTAAACAAAAGAACTGGAAACTTGTTTAAAATTGATCGTGTTTCAAGTCCGATTTTGGGGGCTTTGGGAACTCAGAAACAAAAAAACAATATTTTGATTTCTCTCATTCTTATCACTAGATTCTCATAGGGGCCGTTTGGATCCATAGAATATATTTTGAGAAAAGTATTTCTTATGAAATAGATTTTGGCTGTTTGGATGCATAATATTTTTATTTTTATTTTAAAAAAAAATTATTGTTAAATAGTTTTTATATAATGTCTTTTTTTTTAAATTAAATTTGAGATAGTTTGTCTCTCTAAATATTTGAGATAATTTCTCTCTAAAAAATTTCTAAGTAGTTTCTCTCTAAAATTTGATATAGTTTGTCTCTCTGAAATTTTAAGATATTTTTTTTTCTTAAAATTTAAAATTTGAGATAGTTTATCTCTCAATTTTTTTTAAGATAGTTTCTCTCACTAAAAATGTTTTAAGTACACTCTTTCTCTCTTTAAAACTTAAAATTTGAAATAGTTTCTCTATAAAAAATTTAAGTATGTTCTCTCTCTAAAATTTGACATAGTTTGTCTCTCTAATGTTTTAAGATACTTTCTTTCTAAAACCTAAAATATGAGATAGTTTCTCTCTTTAAAAGTTTTGAGTTTTTTTCTCTTAAAAATTTAAGATACTCACTCTAAAAAACTTAAAATTTGATATTGTTTGTCTCTCTAAAAATTAGAGAGATTTTTTTAAAATATTTTATCAATCTAAAACTTAAAATTTGAGATGGTTTCTCTCTTTAAAATTTTTGATATAGTTTTTATCTCTAAATTTTTGAGATATTTATCTCTCTAAAAAATTTCAAGTACTTTCTCTCTCTAGAACTTAAAATTTAAAATAGTTTCTTTTGATATAGTTTCTCTCTCTAAATATTTTGAGATATTTTCTCTAAATTTTTAGGTCCTTTCTCTCTCTAGAACTTAAAATTTAAAATAGTTTCTTTTGATATAGTTTTTTCTCCAAATATTTTGAGATATTTTCTCTCTTTAAAATTTGATAAAATTCCTCTCTCTGAAATTTGATGTAGTTTCTCTCTCTAAAATTTTAATATACTTTCTCTATCTAAAATTTAAAATTTGAGATATTCTTTTTCTAAATTTTTTGAGATACATTCTTTCTAATGTTTTTTGGTACTTTTTCTATCTAAAACTTAAACTTCGATACCGTTTCTCTCTCTAAGAATTTTCAGGTACGTTCTCTTTATAAAACTTAAAATTTGAGATAGTTTTTCTCTTTAAAATTTTGACATAGTTTATCTCTCTAAAACAATTTTAGATATTTCTCTCTCTAAAGTTTGACATAGTTTCTCCCTCTAAACTTTTAAGATTTTTCTCTTTAAAATTTAAAATTTGGAATAGTTTCTCTATAAAAATATTGAGATAATTTCTCTCTAGATTTTTTTGATAGTTTCTTTCTTTAAAATTAGAAATAGTTTCTCTTTCTAAAATTTTAAAATACTTTTTATCTCTAAAACATAAAATTTGATATAGTATCTATCAAATTTATGGGGGTATTTTTGTAGAATTAATTATATTTTATAAACTGAATGTCTTTAAAACAGGGAAATCTAGCTGGAAATCAATAACAGGTAAAGGCAAAGATACATATTTTTTTATTTTTGGGTTGAAATAGAGAAAACAATCATGAATGGAAATACATTTCAGTCTTAAAATTTGATCCAAATGCCAGAAATATGTCATTTCCACTTAAATACAATTTTAGAAATGTATTTATGAGTATCCAAACGGCCCCTTAAAAATTCTCAGGTTGGCTTTTTGGTAGAAGCTTTTGTTGTGACCTTTAAAAGTTCTTTAAGATTCTTTTTTGGTAGAAGCTTTTGATGTGACAGTAAAAAAGGCTTTAAAAGTTCTTTAAGATTTTTTTTTGGTAGAAGCTTTTGATGTGACAGTAAAAAAGGCTCAAGAAGCCAGCGCAAAAATGGGGTTTACGTCTTGATGTATATAACAAAGGTTAGGATCGTTTCCAGCCCATCCTTGCCACGACCTTGAGACCAGCAACCTACGATTCACTAGATTCATTCAAACTAGTCCTTAAACATTCCTACCGCAAAGAAGATACCTACGATTGTGTTATCTTCCATGAGAAATAATATGATGTATCAAAGTGAAATTCAGGTCTATATTTTCATGGAAGAACAAATCACATGGGGTTAAAGCATCATTTTTATCATAGACAACGTAACATCTGAGAAATTGATTCTAGTGACTTAATTTTCGATTCCAAAATATTTGAGCATAAGATATTCTTACAAATATGAAATGGATGGAGTTTTTATGAGACGGCCGACTCATATATACATATGCGGCCCACCACTAAAATCCACTTTAAAGATGAATTCTTTATCTAATTTTTTTGTAGATTCATCATCTAGGCCAAAATGATCATGAATATTAAAAGAAAAATAAACTTTTAAAATTAAAACTACAATATTTTTAGTATATTTTTTATGCACCGTCCATATCTTATCTATTGACAATACACTTTTAGATAACGTCCACGTTTGTAAGTCAGCGGGCTCTTGTGGCTGCTGACTCATGAAACACTTTTCCATATTAAATTTACAATATCAGTAACTCCATTTGGAAATTTTGGGTAAGGTTATATTTGTAATTGCAAATTGATTGCAAAATTCAAACAATTACTAGAAAAATCAGGGGAATCTTTTCAAAATTGAAGATGAATTTAAGAAGGACCACAACCTACCTTTAATATCTTAAAACTAGATTACCAAATAACTCATTTAAAACAAAGAAAATGATTGTAAATTTAAATTCCTCCCAAATTTAATCACAATTCAAAAAGTCAAAGGAGTCCTTTGAAGTTGATTTTTAGATGGATCCTGAAATAACAATAGCACCAATCCTAAAATATACAATTTATAATAAAAACTCATTTTTTAACATATAAGAATATACAACGAGGGGTGTGGTTTCCGTAAGCTTGCAACCTTAAACAAACATATAATTTTGATATAAAATATTTGTAGGATTATCTCAAAATCTATTTTTATATCTAATTATAAAATTTTAAACTCCCAAAATGATTAAAATCAAGTAGATCTATAAACATATAAAAATATTGAAAATTGACAATCTTGGTAATATGTTGTCAGATGCACTATTTCTGAGACTCAAAATCTTCTTATTTTTTTATAGTCATACATCTCAATGTCGTGATGATCAACCAAATGGTTTTTCAATATTAAAACAACATTTTCCGATGGATTTTTGAGATGCATCCGTAGTTCCACATTTTAAGGTTGCGACCTTATATAAACTTTTTCCTATAAAAATTAGAAATAGAAAATTTTAAGGTCACCATTAGAGTGATGTAACCTAATTAACTTTAATATGCGTGCATGAATATTTAGGTCAATGGCTTTAAAACTACAAACCCAATTGCCTAAACAAGATATCTTTAACTCACAAGAAACAACTTAAAAAAAAATGAGTTCTAAAATACCTAAGGTGGAGTTTGATAATTACGTAATAGGGTGAAAGTGCCTGACTTTCACCCTTACTATACATTTCGAAAAAGGCATAAAGGGGTGAAAGTGGGAACACCCATTTTCCCCCTTTCGCTATTCCTCTTAAGAACTCTCACCTCTGCCACTCTCTCTCCTCCTCAACCTTCTATTTTTTCTAATCCTAAGGCCTTCTCCTCAATTTTGTAGGTAAACCAGACTTCAAATGAAGTTACTCAATGTCTAATGTTATTATGTTGAAGTCGAGCCTTCGTGTGAGGTAGTGTATGTAATTGTTGAATTTGTATTAATCTTCTCACAAATTATTGGTATTTTCTGCTCGAGCAATATCATGACCTTTTTATTCAGTCCAATTCACATGTACTAACGAACTATTTGACAAAAAGAAAATCATTGGGAAATAAAACGATCAGAGATAAATGAGAAATCTAGTGCCAAAATGTTTATTTCGTAAATAGGAAGTGGTGTTAAAAAGAATTAAACTTTATTGAGTGCTACTGGTGATAGATTAGGAATTCAAGATTGTACTCACTGTAAAACATCAAGACAAGAAGACCAATGTTCGACAATGGTAATGGTCATCCAGAGGATGCGAGTGTATTCTTTTGATGGAAATTTAAACTGCTTTTGTTGAGGAGATATAGATTTTCATTTTGTACAATTCAATTGCCAACCATAGAGTAATTTGCATATTATGAAGCTTCGAAGCAAAAACTTGTATCATGCATGTGACAACTTGTATTTTTGAGTGGATCCTTTGCTCATTTGGTGCTTAACGCCGTTAGTTTTTTTAACGTTAACAAAGAAAAAAGAAAAAAAAAGACACCCTTGGTTTAGATCTAAAAGGATTGTCACAAATATTTAACATCAACATTTTGTGACTTCTACCCTAAAACTAATTAAGTCCTTGTAGGTGTGACCACTGAAGAATCATAGAGTAAAAGTATCCCTAAAATATGCATTTGGAGATGATCTATTGTAAGTTATGAACCAAATAAAAGTTCTATTATGAGGCAGAGACTAGATCGCCCATTATGAATGTGGGCTCATATATTTCATTTGAAGAACCTGTTGCAAAACTTATATGAGAGAAGGCCTCACTATTCGACTCTACAGCCAATCAAGGCAACCCAAAAAGCGTCCTAAATCTTAATCTTTATATCAAAACTACTTGTGGTACACTGCCCTATACTCTTTCGTGCATATGTTATGGAACATTTTATGAAATCTCCAAGCACATTAAAGTATTCCTTGAATCTATTATATGTTTGGCATTATATTGGATGAATGGAAGGAACCTTATTTAGTTACAAAATGTCATTAAAAATTTGTATTTTGCCCATCATATCAATGAAATACATAATGAACGATAAAGTATTCCTTGAATCTATTACATGTTTGGTATTATATTGGATGAATGGAAGGAACCTTATTTAGTTACAAAATGTTATTAAAAATTTGTATTTTGTTCATCATATCGATGAAATACATAATGAACAGTATTATAGGGGTTCCAGAATCCAAAAAATCAGCAGCAGGAGTGATTCCCAGGATACTACCGTAAAAGTTTATCAAACACCACCTAAAGGTCCATTCAATGAAACAATGAACGGTGTGAATTCACTAATGGGGCATAATTCATTTACCTCATTATTAGCTTGTGAATTATTTTTTATTTCTATTTTTATTTTTTTTGAGATTGATCATTGGGATTATTGTGCACACAAACTAGGGTTGCAACAAAACTAGGGCAATGGGCCTTCGCTACAATACTAGCACGTTTGCATACATACATATGGATGCAAAAAAAATTTACGGGTTCATAATCTATACCGTGGTGAACATAAATTTTTAAAAAATATCTTCAAAAAATAAAAAATAGTATTATTTAATGTATTTTTTTGTACCATTGATTTGTAGATTTTGTTCGGACCACACCATTTTAATATCCATGGATGTTAGTATGCACATTTTTTGGTGGGACCAACACATTTTAATATCAATGGTTAATTTGTTAATATCCGTGGATGTTGGTATGTCATATAAAAACAATAATTTCAAAAATAAAAAATGGTGAGATCACCATATCTTTTAAAAGGACGTGGGTTGACATTGATATTGGTTTCTCATATGAAGATTTTGGTGGGATCACCACATTTTAATATCTCTCCCAAAAAAAAAAGATAAGAATAATATTTGAAAAATATGGATCGTATTATCACACAAATAGCTCAAAGTTTTAACTTAATCTAAACGGTCAAAATTAGCTAGTCCAAATCGCCAAAGCCAATCAAATATTAATTTTGACCAATGTTTTTTATCAAATTGGAATTTTGCTTTGGACTAAACTTGCCAAACCACCAACGGACATATTAACTAGTTGGAATGGATGCTCCAGTTCGATAAACTATAGTTGCAATGTAGAAATAAACCTTCTAACATGCATCGAACCAATACTACTTTCTAAAAATGAGGTAGAGACTTTAAACTTTCCCTTAAATGTAAAATTTGTAAACAAAAATACCAATCAAACAAATCAGAATTAATCAATCAAACAACTCTAGAGTCAACGCAGTAAAGCCGCAAGCTCAACATGTATTGTAATACTTATAATTTATATATCTGGAATCTTTGACAAGCAGTTTATCATCAACTGAGGTCCATTTTTGAGATATGCAGACCACTCTCACCAAAATCACACCCAAAACCCATCAGAGGGCAAAATCCAATGTTTTGCAGATACACAGAAGCATTGTACCCGCCAACTTTTCAAATTTTGATTTAATAAAAGGAATCGATAGAAGCATTGGTAGTTTCACATTTGACCATTTTCAAGAGCTTGTATCTTCTGCTCCAACTGCACCATACAAAGACTAAGTCAAAAATCAAGGCTTAAAGTTTCAGGAATCAGATTACTCCCGAGGAAGTAAATACTGATCTGTTATAGGGATACAACGATAAAAGAGAAAAGAAAAGCCTTTTCGGTATTTCATCTCAATACATAAATCATATTTGAGAAAGAAGTATAGGTTTCGTTACCTGGACAAAGTTCTGAAATTTAGTCCTCAAGGTATAGAAATCTTGCTTGACCAGATCCAAGGCTTCTTGACACCTGTAAAGAACTCAAAAATTTCAGCAACCAAGGAAATGGTTTGAGTAGAGTTTAGAACTATCCTTTGGAGTCTAAGATGGGTCAAGATAGGTGATTAAGACAATCGTCGAAAGGAACAAACAAGATATAGAATGAGTGCACAAAAAAATCCCTTCTGATTGCTTCCAATAAAAGCACCGTTAAGCATTGACAGTAAATGCATTAAACTGGGTGTCAAGAAATAAAAGCAACCATAAAGAAGCTAATTGCAGTCCAATAAGGGCAAGAATCTTGCATGAGATTGCTTACAAAAAGTAGTAACCAACAAGGAACAATGGTCACGAAACTGGAGAAGCCATAGAGTTCAGCAACTAAAGAATGATAAACAAAGAAAGATATTTTTCCAGTTTCAGATCAGTTCAACAGAAAATTTGAAATATTTATATATGACAGCTCCTCATGACAGTTCATTTCTATAACAGTTATAAATTCCATGCTAATGATAATTTGTGCACTTTCACTCCTCGAACTAGATGTTGTTCTTTCCTTTGGTAATAAGCAGATAGTAGGAGGCAGAGATTACATATAAGCCATATTCAGATAAAATTCACTAAGATCAATTTTTTTCATTTTTAAGAAAAGTGATAGTCTTTTGTTGAACTGTATTCTATCCCAATTCTAATCAGCGATGCTTGGATACTCTATTTACTTCTTGGTGTCATATATCAACACGAATTGACACCTTGACACAGAAAGTCACTGGTCTCATACGCCATATGTACGCCGCTGGGCAGTCTACACTGTTGAGTTGAAGAATCAAAACCAAGGTTTAAAAAAATGCCGATCTAGATCGGAACATGCTGATCCAGATCGGGAATCCTTGGAGAAGAACATGTTCCCACAAAATATCACGAACCAGTAGTTTCCCCCATGACGTTGCCAGTTCTAACCGGTTCTCTGATAGAACCAGAACCAGAACCAGCCCCAATTTCTAATTTTTTTTTAAAAATTTTTATTGACCGGTTTGGTAGACTGGATCACCGATTTGCCGAACCGGATCGAAAATCCAGATGCACGATTCGGGTCATCGGTCTGTTTTTTAAAGCCTTGGTCAAAATAGTTTGTAAAGCGTGTCGATTTGTACCGAAATGCCATATCACTTTGAGTATTTGCAAGTTCCCCTTTTTGTTTGAACTCTAAAAATCGTTGAGAGAATAGAGGGACACTGAAATTTTTTGACATCTCATCAAAGTTCTCAGTTATCAGCCGTACATTTATATCATGTAACACTCACAGCCTTTAAAAGGTAAGCCTAATAAATTTTTTAATACGGAAGTAGAACAAGGATTTCTTAAGGGTGTACTTTCCCAAGCTCACTAAGAAGTTCAAGGTTGGGAAATCCTTCAAATGGATCTGCCTTTCCACAGATTTCTATTAGGGACTATTCTTTCGCTGGTTCAACTCTAACTGCTGCCCGATTCAAGCTTGAAAGGCCCATCTCAAGGGCCCAAGGAGTCACAATGGATTATTGTAGATTGTTTAAAATTTTGAAATCTTCCAATCATATATTTTTGGCAAGATTTTCTTCCTTATTAAGCGTTGGATTGATTTTTCTTTTTTATTTTCAAGAGATTTTGTATGGAAACAGTAATCGACAACTGAGCCTCCTTAGATAACCCAACTCCCTATCCATTTAAAACATATACAATCCTGTAAGGAAAGCCTTTGTTTAGTTATTGTTCAATTGGTAAGATAAGTTCATATTTCATTTTCAAAGTTCATTCTTTCAAAGTATTTAATTTTCCATTGTTTTTACTTTTTAGATTTTCTTTGACATCTTCCTATTTCTAAAGATTGTGTATCTTTTATGGACAAATCGCCACATATTGGAGTTCGAGATGATGTCTATACACTTCAGACAGGTGCCAGAGCATACGTAACAAAGATTTTAAAACATTTGATTAACAATTAAGGAAATACAAGTCAAAGGTACCAATTCAGATGCTAAATCAGAAGTGCTTTATAATCACATCACTTGCTGTTATACTTGGTCTTTTATTCAACAGAAGTTAAACCAAATAATTATGTAAGATGCTAACAGTAGCATTGAGGATGTGTGAGAAGTAAATCAGCATGTCAATATCTGACAACCACACGTGGCAGAATGGAAATGACTCTATTATTACCCAACAAAGTTAGAAGTGAAAGGGTGCCGGAAGGGGGGGGGGGGAATTGATTTTGATAGCAAAAGGACAAGGGATAGGGTTGCAACAGAGAGAAGTTGCGGCTAAAGTAGGGCAAAGAGCGAAATTCAAAACAATGAGGAGCTTGTAAGAGAACCTAATCTGAAAGAAGAGATAGTACTGAAAGAGGCACCAATTTGATAGGGCAACTGACCAACAGGAAGAGAGGACCCAGATTCTTACAGCCAACAACCAATCAGAGAGAGGGAGAGAGAGCCCAAGTCCACAGGGCCACCAACACCTATACTAATCATGCATCTAATGGAAAACCCGGTCATGACTTGACTCATCTGAACAAAAAGAGATCCTCCATCTAGGGTTAAGGTAAAAGGATTGGAACCAAGAGCGATATATATATATAAAAAATTCACCATCTAATGGTCATCAACATCAGAGCCTTTTCCCAACTATTCGGGGTCGGCTAAAAGGAACTCGTAACGAATTTGAGATTTTGAATGGGAGTAGAAAACCATACTGCAAACTTTTGGACAGTGAATTACCTTTAAAATAATTAAAATTACATGAATGTACTCCTTTCTATCAACTTAGAAAAGGGCAATAGATATAATTGTTAAGCCCTCCAATTTTGGCAAATTTATAGAATCCTCTCTCTCCTGGTGGCAAAACTCCTACTTTCCTCTCCTTTCCATCTCATGATGAGAGCACCTGCCTTCCTCCTCTCTCCATCTCCTTCCTTACCATCTTCCTTTGGTGGGATCTCTCTCTCTCTCTCTAATCAATTTTACCCCAAATGGCCTAATAACAAGAACCAAGGAGCACACAATGCCGTGAAACACTAGCCAATCTTCCTCCCGACGAATTTTCTCTGTCTTTCATACCGGTTTTCTCTCCATCTCATGGTAAAATCTTCCAACAACACTCTCACAGTGAAGTGCCCAAAATCTCTCTCTTCTCTCTAAACGCCAAAATCAATATCTCTCTTTGCATCCCAAAAAACTCTCTCTCCCTCTCTCTCAAGGTGAAGCCCCCAAAGTCAATCTCTCTCTCTCAAGGTGAAGCCTCCAAAGTCAATCTCTCTCTCTCTATAACAACACAGGAAATCACAAATAAATTCCCTCTTTCTTGTTGGGCTCCCCTCTTCCATACTCCAACTACGGCCATGTTTCTTGTTGGGCTTCTCTCTTCCATACACCAACTACAGCCACAGTGTTTTGCAATTTCTATTGATGTTCACTCCTCTCCGAACCCAATAAGCCATCATAATTGATTGTGAAGAAGTCTCTCTCTGGATGGGAGAGTGGTATGAGAGGGAGATAAAGGAGAAAACCTCTAAGATAGAGAGAGAGAGAGAGAGAGAGAGAGAGAGAGAGAGAGAGAGATGTTAAAGAAGTCCAATATATGACGATGAATCCCACCAGGAGACGGAGGGAAGAGGAAAGCAGTTGAGTTCCTACCGGAAAAGATAGGGTCCTATAAATTTGCCAAAGTTGAAGGGATTAACAATTACATTTAATGCCCTTTTCTAAGTTAATAAAAGGAATTTCAATTATTTTAAGGGTAACTCCCCGTTCAAGAGGAGGAGAGAGAAAGAACCCAATTCCATAGATAAAACTTTGAGTCAGGAGGATGAGAAGAGAGAAAGAAGGGGTGGGGGCTAAATTCCATTAATTCCTCGATGAGGGAAACCACCATAAATTAGGTAAAAAAAGTAAACTTTCTTTCACTTGAACACAGGTGCAGTTCAAAGAGGCATGATAGGAGAATTTTATATCTCAAATATCTAAATGTTGAGTCTACTATCTTTCATTCTTTGCTTAATTATTTTTATTTAACTAATAGAAATTCTAGAAACATCTGAATTTAATGTTTAGATACACAGAGATCCGAGGCCAATGCAGCAAGATAGTGTAATTAATTCTACTTAGTCAAAAGTAGATAAATATTTCCAGCATCACCTAGTTATTTGTATTACTTAAATAGGCAGCTATTATTTTAAGGAAATGCACCCATCAAAAATATCTCGACATCCAATTCAACTCATCATCTACACTCTGCATGTATTACATTACGTGAACATGTGTATGCGTGCACATTTATAATTAAAGCCAATGCAAGTTTCCATCCATATCATAACAAGAACTTCACAAGGAAAAATATGCTGAGCTCCAGCGCAAGTTAGAACATGTTTGCTATTCAACAAGTATACTGATAAATAGTCCATCTAGATGAATTATGTTAGTTAATACCTCAGACTCCACTATGAAAATTCCAAGGTTGTTCTTTTGAAACAATTGACAATCTTCTTTTTTGAAATTATGATGCAGCAAATGTTATGTAGCAAACATAACAGCACAAACTACACGTACTATCTTAGCATCAATATTTTTAAAATTGGAAACATCAACAACAAGGGATGGTAGAACAAACAAACAACTTGACCAATGTCACAACAACCTTAAACTGATTAGCAATGATATTCATCTGCTCTCTACAAGCTAACTTTAAATATATCATGGTAAACCAATTCAATTGGCTTTAATGAAGAGTTGAGTTGTTACTATTAGAGAACACATCTTTCACAGCTACATCAATGACACGGAATTTCGGCACGCTTAGCAGGAACCAGAAACAAAGCACCACCAAGTGAAACAAAACTACTAGAACAAAACCATTGCATTGTCATTTATAGTAAATTTACTAGTGGCAGAACATAAAGATATATGATATGTTATTCGAAGGTAATATGATAAATGTAGGAGTTGTCCCACTAACCCTTCTTTGTTGGTGTTTTCACAACAAGTACGAAACTTGTTGCAAGCAAGTTTGACCTTATGTGCACCTATGCTGCAAATCATGAAATAAGGCAGTTTAGGGATGAATTTTAAGTTTATTAAATAAATATGAATAAGCAAGAGCATATGAAAACACACGAGTTTAAGTGGAGCACTCTATACAATATGCCGACTCTTGTGAACTTTAAGCAAGGGTAAGACCAGCTTGTTTTTATCAGTGGAGGTCACATAAATAACGTTCCAACTGCTAACATTCATAATAGAACTATCAAGCAAGTTTGTTCAAGTACAATACATAATAACTAAGAGTTTTGTATTCTTCCATTTCTTTATTACATCCTTTCCTTTGTAGCATATATGTGTAGGTCATTGTTGTCTTCTAAGTTAACAAAGTGATGCCATATGAAATGTAACATGAATTGGTATTTTCTAAACTTCAAATTGGGTTCATAAGGTAATAAATGAAAGAAGGCAGGTACGTATGCTGCATGATTTTCTCCTATTTCTGACAAAGATAGTTCTAGTTTTGCTGTAAATACAACATTAGACCCCCAAACTCCTAAATACAAGAAAAGGGTGATCAAATCCAAACAAATCATTTACCTGAGAAAAAAAATCCAAACAGATCCATTAGCATCAAATTTAGTCCATTCACACATACATATGAACAAAGAAACATGCGAAATGAACATTAAAAGTAGAATGAAGTCAAGGTTGTATTACCTTGAGCTACTTCCCTTCAGTTGATGAACAAAGGCAGTAATATTGTTGAACTCAACAACATCTTGAGCACTACACAAACAGGCCACACAAAACCTAAAAGTCAGTGGTGTGTATGCACGAACAGAATTAGAAAAGTAGCCATAGGAAATATGTGGTCTAATTGAAAAAGTTACTAAGATAGGAAGTACAGGATTCTGGTCAATTCAGTTAATATCTTCTCAGAATCATCGCAGAATAATGAGATGACTTCTGCAACAAAACCAGGATTGCTTTCATCTTGTAACAACTGAAGTTGGTGAAATTGTTCATCCAAACAGCCCTAAGTCACATAAAATACGAAACCATATGAGTTTCCGATTTATTTGCATGAATTTTCTGATTATAACTCGAAGTAAAATACAATCAGCAAACAGAAGAGGGCACACAAGACTTTTTTACTCTCAGTTTACATTAAAAATATTGTTTCTTTCGATTTTCTTCTAGTCATAGTCAAATGTATTCATTAAACATTTGCTAAAAAAATTACAAATACAATAATTCAATCAATTACAAGGATGCACCCTTCCAAGTTTCCAGCCAATCTCCCCGTCCACTTGCAGAAAGACCAATGCTCTCTTCTTTGAAGGAACAAAAAAGATCAGATTTTTCTAAAAGAAAATCAGGCATCCTTAATTTGCATAGATATTTTCATTCAATTGAAGCATGATTTATATTTTTTATGTTTCCTTACAAATATTTTAATTTTTTAATGGCCTGATAGGATTGTGCTACTACATAATTTAGTCACTATGGGAAACAGTGCTTGAAACTACCCAACTTCCCTTAAGTGACAAAATCAGCAAAAGAAAATTCCATCAGGCCACAAAAGGATTTAACAAATTATAAGAGAACTTCTAAAACAAATGTAATAAGTAGTTTTTATCAAATTTAGCCTTCGTTCCTTAATTCGATCATATTTTGCATGGCCATAGAATATTAGTGAAAATACTATATCTCGATCATCAAATTTAAGAGCTTTCTTAAAATACTAAAACTTGATCATCAAATTTAAGAGATTTCTGTATATACTATATATATATATATATATATATATATATATATATACANACTACTAACTA